GTTTTATTTAGCAGTGGCTAGTGGCTCATGCTGTTAGGAAGGAAAAAGATGAAGCTGCGAATTGCAGAAGCTGTGGTGGTGGATGTGGGCATGATCGTGGTGGTGGTTTAAATGCAGACTCTGCCAACATCAAGAATTCATTTGGCAATAGTTGATTCTGTGGTGCTGGTACCCCTGAAGAGGCAGATACTAGAAAACCTTTCAAATGGGCATTGTGTCTATGGTGCGCCTTGTGATCATTTGCATGGAGATTGCCATGGTTGTTTTAGTAATGAAGGAGTGGGTTTGTGGAATGGCATCATAATATGGTGTTTCAACTCCGCATTGGAACTTGTCGTGGAAGTGACATCAAACATGATGGAGTTGGTCGAGGGAACTGGAGAACTCAAACTGATCCATTTCCAAGCCTGTACTCTTTCAACTTAGTTTAAAGCTCTGATAAAAACATGTAGATAAATGCTAAATCACATCTACTGCAGGTAACCATGGAACACACTATTCAATACACCCTTATGTTCATGCCTACATACACTTCAAACTAATAAAGTCTAGCTACTAAGATAGTTTCTTAACAACTACCGCACCAGCTTTTCAGTTTTTTCATGTTGATATGTAGCTTAGTGCATAAAAGTATTTCTTTTTTGCTCTCAGGTTCAAAATTTCTAGCCTTGATCTTTGCCCTACTTCATGGCAGCTTGATGTTGGAGCCTGACAAATGAATAGTAAACACTATGTTCTCCTTTTGCGGGTAACTTACCATGAGAACCCTCTTCTACAATTCTTCCAATGTCAATCACTGAAATTTTATTCGAATTTTGAATTGTGGATAGTCGATGAGCTACAACCAAGCATGTCCTATTGGTCATAGTCTTTTCCAGTGCATCTTGTACTAGGTTCTCCGATTTAACATCTAATGCACTTGTTGCCTCATCTAAAAGTAATTTGGCAGGATTTTTCAAAATTGCTCGAGCAAGAGTTAACCTTTGTTTTTGGCCCCCTGATAACTGCACGCCTCTTTCTCCACAGTAGGTTGCATACCCATCTTTCATTGAATTGCTTTGCAAATAATTTTGGTTTACTTTTAGGTTTTGACTTAGTTCACAGAGACAGACATAGATACTAATACACAAAACACACGACAGAGAGAGAGAGAGAGATAGCTTATAAATTCATGGGCATTTTCCAGAGTAGTAGCTTCAATAATCTCTGCTTCAGTTGCATTCTCCTTTGCATATGCAATGTTTTCATGGATTGTTCCAGCAAAAATTGTGGGCTCCTGACTAACCAATGTAATATGTGACCTTAGAGCTCTTAGATTGTATTTTTTGATGCCAATCCCATCCACTTCCACAGACCCCTTTGATGGGTCGTAAAATCTCTCAATTAGTCTGATGATTGTTGATTTTTCAGAACCACTTGTGCCCACTAATGCAACGACGTCTCCAGCATCAATCTTTAAGCTTAGACTCATAAGGACCATCTGTTTTGGTCTAGTTGGATAAAAGAATTGACCTCTTTAAGCTCCATATCCATTTATCTTTACTGGACAGAACGCATATGGTTTATCTGGGTCCATCTTGCTATTTCTTTTCAAAATTGCGAAGATTGATAGTAATGCATTGGTCCCCTTCGATAATTCCATAGTCATGCTTCCAATCTCTTCTATAATTCTCCCTATTGATACCAAGATGAAGAATGTCTGAAAGAGTTGCTTTTATGTGATATTGCCACAGTACAAAAGCCTTCCTCCATACTAGAAAAGTAATCCTGCATTGGCAGCAGTGAGGGAACTGTGAGCTAAATAGTCGTAGCCCTGCATACCAAGATTGTATATGGCTCTCTTTCTTGGGGCCAATCTGTGCATCCTCAAATAGTGCCATAATCTTATCCTGAGAATAAAATGCAGTGATGATTCTTTGGTTGCCAACAGCCTCGCTTGCTAATTCGCTACTCTTGTTCTGGGCTTTTAAGATTTTCCTAGACATGCTCCTCATCATTACTACTCTCACATAAAATGATCCAATGATGAGCGATTGCATAGCAATAGCAACAAAAGCAAGTTTCCAAGCCAATACTATACCCAAAATAACTGCCAAAGTTCCTTCTGTGATGGCCGATACCAAGAATGCCAAACGATCTGCAACAAGAGTTCTTACCATGGTCGTGCCTGTAGATAATCTAGAACAGAGGGCGCCACTGCTACTGTTTTCCTGATCAAACCATTCAATCTCAAATGTCAGGATCTTGGCAAATATTGATTCTCTAACTTCGTTGGTCGAATTCTCTCCCATTACTCCGAAATTGTAATGTTGAATCTCATTGAGATGAAAGTGGAGACGGAAAAGGCTAAGAAAGCAAAGCAATATATTTTTGTTTGCTACTCTTACTCCGGCATCCAGCTTAGAACTATGCAATAGAGTGGTTTGATTATATCATAAGTGACCATTGACACTTACAGTGACTCGTGAGCTTTCTTTGTGTGTCATGATGTCGACACAAGGCAAGAGTAAAGACTTCAACTCAATACCATAATCATAATCGTACGGATCACCGACTTAATTTCGTCATGATCACCAATAAAATAGACAGATAGAAGTGCACCCATGTAGAAATAGTGCCATGGCTGAATTAATCCATAGCAAATAGCACCAATGCAACCTAACAGAGTTGATTTCCATTCTAATTCAGTCATTTGTACCAGGTACTAGAGGGATGGAGGGCTGCATTGCTCCTGTCTTGAGGTTAATTATTTTCTCATGACTGGACGGCCTGTTCGTTGTTTCTAATATTTTTGCATCTCTGTTTGGGGAAGGAGAGTTATTATTTTCAGTTCTTTTTAATGTTGTCTCTATTTCGTCATTCATGAGTGTCTTCTTTGCACCGTAGCTGAATATGGGCCATGCCTGATCTGAACAAGTTGCTCGTGAGAACCAGACTCTACTACTTGCCTTGACTGAACAACGGCTATCAAATCAGCTCTGCCTAGTGTAGAGAGACGATGTGCAATTATAATGGTGGTACGTCCAAATGAGGCCTGATTCAAAGCGTCCTAGACAGACTTTTCAGATTGCGAGTCTAGTGAACTTGTGGCTTCATCAAGCAGCAAAATTCTCGGGTCTCTAAGCAATGCTGTTGCAATGGAAATCCTCAGTTTCTGTCCTCCAGACATTTGAGTTCCCAACTGCCCTACCTGGAAAAACACAAGACAAAAGCTTTGGTCTCTTCTTCACCTTAGTTTGTAGGAAAGCTGTACGGAAAATGTGCTAGCTATAAGTTTACAATTACCATTTTGTAGGGTAATAAATCATGCAAATCCTGAGGTGATATATCTTGCTACATAATAAAAAAAAATATATTAATATGGTATATAAAAAAATATTATGATTTTTTTCAAAGTTCCAATATTAATACACGTTGACAACTTTATTGATACAATATCATCTCCAACGCCAAAAATGAATATATATATATATATATATATATATATATATATATATATATATATATATATATATATATATATATATATATATATATATATAATTTTTTTCTTCATTTACTATCAAAATAATCGGGTAAAAAACTACTAAGGCACAAAGAAAAACAAGAAAGACGAAAAAAAATTAAGAAAATAAAAATTTATAACCCTTACTACTTGGTAGTTCGAATGAAAGAATCACAGAAAAATAGTTTATTTGATGTTTATAGTTATGAAGATAATATTAATAGTTTAAGTATAACAAATATGAGATAACTAGTTATTATATGTGTCTGAAGGCATAAAGTAATAAAAAAAATGGTCAACAATAAATATATTTGTATTCTAAGCGAAAGTAGCGGTGGGCGACGGCGGATTCTTCTGAGCGAAAGTGTGATGAGTGGTGGCGAATGACGGTGGTGATGATGGTGGTAGGTGTGGATGACAGTGGGTGTGTGGTAGTGGTGGGCAATGACGGTGGCGACTGTGGTGATGGGGTGATGGCGGCGACAATGGTGGTGGCGGTGGCGATGGTAAGGGTGATGGCGGCAATGGTGATAATGGGGTGGTGGTAGAGGTGATGTTGGTGGTTGGGTGGCGGTGATGATTGTTGTGGCAAAAGTGGTGGTGGAATGGCAGCAGTTGTGGTGGTGGTAGTTGGGGGTGGGGGTGGTAGTGATGGTGGTGGAGATAGTTATGGTGGTGGTAGTAGTGATGGTGAGACGATTTCAAACACTATTTTTTAAAAAAAAATATTTATGAGAAGTTATAAAGCACTTTTAAAAAGTCACTCAAACACACTCTTAAGGGTCTATTTTTTATTAAATTTGAGGTATTAATATTAGCCGTTGAATTAAATTTAAAGTAAAATTTAAAGAGATTTCAACCACGCAAAGCAAAAGTTATTTTGTTTATTTTTTGATATTTGAATTGTATTGTATTTTATTATATAAATATCTAATTTAGGTACATAATTAGATTTTTTTTATATATTTTATCAAATATTTCGAAAAAAAATTCAATATATAAAAGAGTCATCTTGTTTGAAAAGATTTTGATATTATGTTAACAATATGTAAGGACAGCTCATGCCTTTTCAAATAACTCTTTAACAACTTCATTAATGTACAATTATTCTTTTCATTCAAATATTTTAACTCTTTCGTCTTTTTTTTGTTGAATCGATAATAATCTAAAATTTTAGTTTAAAAATGTGATTTTACCAAAATTCTTTCAATCATAATAAATCTTCCAATTTATAGTAAACATCCCAAGAAATTATAATTCAATTTTTAATATGTTTTTTTAATTTATATTTTTTAATTCCTTTACATCTTTGTAAGAAGAACCCTAATAAAAACCTCTCTATAAATAATGAATCTCCAACATAAATTTTAAAAAATAAAATCATAACTATTTCTTTGTTTTATGTACTTTCTTGTAACTAATCTAATTTTAATTTTTTTTTGTGATTTATATAACTTTACATAAGCGATACTATATTCTTTACATTTTTTATGTAAATATTTTTATTTTATTTTAAGAGAAATTTCAGGGGCAACATATAGTTCATCGTAGGTTATTTTAAGAGAGCAAGTCTCCTTGGTGTCATCCATATTTCAGGGTTTCTCACAACTGTTCAAATTAAATTGGTCATATTTAAGCCTATCTATAGATTGGGTTTGGATCAGATTCTAATTGATCTAAATTTGAGTTTGATTTCAAAAGTTTAATATGATAATTCGATGATTTTTATTTTCATGATTCATATCCGAATCTATTAATAGTCCGAAATTCGATTTGATCTAATTCGTTAACAATTTAAATTTGGATCAGAATGTGATCAATTGACCAACCTAGTCATATTTCACAACTCATTTGAAAATTTCTTTTTCCTTTTTTCAATGTCAAGCTAAGGATGTACATTTGTCTGAACTCATACTTTATAGGGGGTGGGCCTTATGTAATTGCAGGTGGGCTTGTGTTGTGATTTTTTTTTTTTTTTGTTAGGCATTGTTATAAGGAGGAGACGACGACATTCGAACCCGTGACCTTATGATCCAACAGTATGGTGATAGTCATTTAACCAACAGCTAATTTCAATGATTGATCATTGATTCAATGAAAATGGTCTTTATTTCTAGCTAAATTTTGTTCCTAGGGAGTAACTAACTTGTGATTGATATACTCTCTTGTTTTGGATGGGTTGAGCAAAACCATCTTTATCTTTATCAATCTACTTGTACATCATTTAAAGAAGTTGAGGAGTTTGGTATAGCCACTCACCAATAAAAATAGACTACTTAAATGAGCTTTAACATTCATTTATGTTAATGAAACAATGCCACATTTAAAACATAAACCATATATCATGTTCATTTATCAAATGGTTAGGTGAGTCACCACATGTAGTTATGGTCCATTGTGTAGGTTTTTGTTGTCTCCATTAACATCAACATCCACCCCCACAAATTTCATTTGTTTCTATGTTCATTAGTGGCGTTATACTGTATTTTTAATCTCTCCAATTGCAATTCTATCACTCCTACCACCACTGCCACCCCCCCCCCCCACCCACCCTAACCTCCTATTGTCACTCCTCATCACACCCTGATTTCGACCCTAATATTTTTAAAAAAATTGTCCATTACTATGCTAAATTAAGAAAAATTAAATAAAATAGTTTTATGGGCGGAGTTCTGTAAGACATATGAAAAGATTTACTTTGATAAGATCAATGTATTGTTATTAAATAATTTAAAATTAAAAAATCTAGTACTTGATAAGGAAAAATTTAATAAACACACACTCTCTCATAAATTGATTGTCATAGCATGTAGTAAATATAAATATAAAGGAGAGACTCAAAGAGAGATGGGAAAAGGAGAGATGATGGGAGAGAAACTTGGGATAGTTAAAAAAATTTTAGGGCCAATAACATAAAGTGAAATTAAATTTGACAATTTAAAAAATAAAAAATTTAAGAAAATTGGATGGAGTTTTGGGCTTATCTAATCCAACGACATTACTGTATATTATGTATAGATTTAGTGATTAGAAATGTTCCTTTGGATTGTAAGGCATGGGACCAAACATGGTGTGAGCCCACCAGGTGGGAGTAAGTTTCGGACAAATCACCCCAAGTCTAATCTAAACATAATTGTCAAAGCCTTTGGATTTAATGAGTGACACTCAACTGGGGAAATTGCATTAATTCTCACAATTCTCACAAAATTTGTGGTAGAAATTGACTTCAACACTACAAAATTTTCTTCAGACGTGATTCTGAAAACAAGGGCTCACAATCAATAGCCCATTGCAATTAAGTTTCGTTGGGATTTCACTTATATAGAATTTTACCCAACACTACAAAATTTTAGCTGCCATATTATTTTAATGTCATCCGGAGTATTCCGATCAAATTTAATTTAGTTAGATGGTCTGTTTATCCAAATTTAATATTGAAATTTTAATTTTATTCCAATCCTTAATCTTAGTTATTCCCTTTTATTTGGGAATATTGAATACACACCAAATTTTGAGCTTAATGTTACTCCTCTTAAGCGACATGTCAGGGCGGGGGCAATTTCCCTTATTTGAGCGAACAACCCAAAATTCAGTTATTTCAACTATATCAAATAATCTTTCAAATTGGTCAAGACACCCGATCCCATTCCAACCTCGATATGTGGAATCGTCTTGCGCCATATGTATTGAGATTGTTTGGGAGACATGGTCCAAGCCTGGTGAAGAAATTACTAATAATTTACATTTTATTTCATTCTCGCTTTCATTCCATTCGCTCAAAATAATATTACTACGTATCATACACAACTTTAGAATGTTTTGACATAACAAGTTCCATGAGATACATTAAGTTGTTTTAAAGTAGAAAGTTTGTTTGGCAATAGTGTTAATTACTTTTTGGGTGGAGGATGATACCATTTTTCCTATTATTACTTCAATAAATTAGACTATATAAAGATATCATACCTTTTTTGAATGTGTGTTTTGCTTAATAATAGTATATATTATTGACCATCCTCATAAAAGTTGCTTCTTCAAAATATAAGTTTATAAAATTTAGGATAAATTTTACTAACACTCCCTAAATTTAAGTTATATTTCCCTGACACTCCCTCTGATTTTTGAGATATCATTGCATACCCCTATTAGTTTTTATTTGTTAACAGATTTAACAATATACGTAATTTTACTAAATTATTGTTACTCAAATTAATACAAAATTAATCTATAATTTTATCAAACTAATGTCAAATTGACCTTTAATTTTGTTTGATTAATATTAAATTTTAGCAAATTAATACCAAATTAATATTCAATTTTAGCAAATTAACATTATATTTTATCAAATTAATATTCAATTTTAGCTAGTGTGAACCCACCAGCTAGGAGTAAGATTGGGACAAATCAACCCTAGTCTAATCTAAGCATAATTGTCAAATATCCACTAAATTCGCATAATACTCAGATTGAAAGATTCGAATTGAAATATAGGTTAGAGTAAGCTCAAGTTGAAGGTTTCGTACCTTGAGTCTAAGTTAAACCTTCAACTCTTCCAACTCGCTTGAATTGAACCATTACAACTAACAAGGATTTCATTGGTATAATAGGATCTAGAGCTCTATAAAAAATAAGTATGCATATCTATGTTTCATGGCTTTGTGCTTGTTGTTTGTGTGCGTTGACATTCATCTTGCATAAACATAGGTTTCAACGTAGCGTTTGAAAGTAAATAAAAGCCCTCCAAAATGGTTATCTACTTCTTTTTTTTACCAAATAATCATATTATTGCATTTTTTTAAAGAATAATCTCCAACCAATGTGAAATGAATCTTTAATCCACTAGTAAAGATTTTTTTTTCCCATTCGATTGTTAAGTATGCAATATAACCCTTCCACCCCAGCAAAGAATTTTTTTTTTGACTTACAGTTAGGGGTGTCTAGGTCTGCTTACGCTCACCTTGACTAATCTCTTCATCAGATCGGTCGGGACTAAGACCTTTACTTAGTAATATTCATTTCCATGTTTAGTATTTAGTAATGAAATTCATTCTCATGGAATGCCTAAACCCATTAGCATAGGATTTATCGCTCCTCAATATTTTGGTGGAATTTTTTATTCTCAACTATCACCACTTGTCACTATCACTACCCACCACTCGAGATCGAGGTCAGGTCAGGTCGAGTTTGGGGATGGGTCCAGGATCGGGACCAAGTCTAGGCCTAAGGATTTTTAACATTTGTATTTGAGTGAATTTTTAATTCTATTCTAACGTCTAATCCTAATTATTGTCAAACATTGTAATAGTAATATATATTACATTTCATTCTATTATCACTTTGATTTCATTCTCTTATAAAAGTATTATTGCATACCAAACACAGTTTGAGAATTGCCAAGTTTAAAAATCAAATTATATGAGTTTACAGCTTATTTTTGTTTCTGTCACGAGACTACACCTTCGGCTCACCCCAAAAATGAATCAATGATGGAATTCAAATCTTCATATCCAACAATTTTGTCACCCTACCTTTACCAACCAAAATATGTGGAAAAATATAACAACGAACCTCTTACTAGTAATCATGTTCATATTGATAATAGGAGTAACAACATTGTCAAACAAAAATAGACACTACAAAACAAACACTAATAATGCCCCTCATACATATGAGCACTTATCATCACTTGATCACTAATACCACTCTACATATATTTATTACACTACATATTATACATACATTAATGCCTTATGAATTACATGAATACATTGAGGACATGTTTGACCATATGATCAGAGATGATACGATTTGTTTTCTCCGTAGGATGGAATGAATCCCAGAATACATACTTATTTGCATCCGTGCACGTAAATGGGTTAAATTGATCACACATATAACCCATCTCGAACATTCCTGTAGCACAGCATGCCACTGCTGTAACTTCGAAACCTGTTAAAATAACGAAATAGTAACTATATAAATCACTTTGTTCAATAGAAACATGAAAAACAAACAAACATAAATCAAAAGAAGTTCATTAAACATCTTTAAAGTCACAATAACTGCAAATTTTGGGTGAAGTAAGTCTTCAATTAGCATCGCTAAAGATCAAAAAGCACTGGATGATTGTTCAAATGGTTTATTTAAACATATAGTCCCCGTAAATGTAAAATATTGTATTGTCAAACATTGCTATACATGAATAAAATCCGATAGTTATCACTTTGTACAAGTAAGAACAACAATATATTTATCTTCGATTCACCATATTGTAGCACCCGAAAGTTCACACTAGGTAATTTTATCGATTTTCTATTCAAGCAAAAATTTCATTTTAAACTTCCTATATACAAAGAATTTTATGAGATATTGGCAACTTATCATTCCAAAAATGAAAGAGTTATTAAAATCATGATATTTGTGAAATTACTATTGTTTATATCGATCATTATACGGAACAAATTCTTATTAAAAATAATGATCCTTAAATCAATTTTTTTATAAGAAAAGAGGAAGAATTGATGAAGTTTAACATAGGACATGACCATGACATGACATCAGGAGTTTGAGGAAAAGTAGCCAAACATCCCATGATATATTAATGGAAGCCATAATGGCAGTATGGGAAATGTTCAAATAGATGTATACATTTCTCAAAAAAGTTCCTAAAATTCACATGATTCAGAGTGGCATGGCCATGCCACCTATTCAGTAGAAATAAAAGACCAAATTATTTTAGGTATCGTCTAGTAAACCTTTTTTTAAAGAAAATAAATAATTTTTTCAATATATATATATATATATATATATAATTACTATTTACAACAAAAAAAGAAAAGCAAAAAAAACATAAACACAAATACTAATGGTACGTAAAAAAAAAAATTTCGAGCAATATTACTTAAGTCAGCATTTTAAGTTTAAATAGTATTCTTTTACTCAAAAAAAAAATAAAAAACGTTGTCAAATAATACCTTAAACAAGTTTTTTTTTGCGTGGTAGGGTGGATTGTTGGGTGGGAGGGGGTGGTGGGGGGTGGCCACCCTTTTAATTGATCCATAACTGCCTACCAAATAAGTCATGAAAGATTTTCAACTAACTCATTAAAATCACATCACGGGCATTAAGGTTTTTATTTGACATCGTAGACCCGTTGGAAGAATATTAAACCACCCAAACTCGTGAGACTCCACGTGCCAGTGCCAGTGCCAGGTTGGGTATTTCTTCACAGAAGTACGATATAACTTTACATGGCCCACAAGTTTTCTAGAAGCAGATTATTATTTATTCATTTACTTGGGGTTTTTCTTGCGTGTGTGTGTGTGTTTTTTTTTTTTTTTTGGATTTAACGATGAGCTGTTCAGATTAATAATTTATGTGCATTTAAGTTAATCTTGACTATTTTTTTTTTTTTTGGGGTCCAGTTAACTACTCATATTCACACCATGACTAAGGTTAGGGCGGTTAACCGAGTTATACTTTACAAACTTGAGTCCGAGTTTATCGAGCTTATTTTTTTAAATAAATTTAAAAAATTGTTCAAATTCGATTTATTTAAAAAATGAGTTAAACTTAAGTACCTCGACTATTTATATATAAAGGAGCCGAGTTTTTTAAGCTTGTTTTTCTAAATTAGCCTAAAAAATTGTTCATGACCGATTTGTTTAAAATATAAGTCGAGTTCAAACCGAATCCTATCCAAACCGAACCGGCTCGATTAACGGCCCTAAGCCTAGAATATTCATTTTGGAAAATCACTTATGACTTCGTCTTACGAATTATTCATGTTATCACTTGAACTACCCATTAGAATTTTTCTCATGTGTGTGTTGACTATCCTAAACCAATATGTTTTATCCTTTTTACTTCAAATGCAATATGACACATCTTTATTAATTCATTCTCACCTATATATTACGAATCTCGCTTGAATTCATCGTAGAGATTCAATTATTTATAATGATGTCAATGAGTAGAGCCTATACTCGGTTTATTTATAATTAATAGTAATTAGGTTTGTATTGTGTATAAATATATTTAATTAATTCATGTCTTATTTAATCATATTTGCATGGATTCATTTATTTATTTATCATCCAAACTAAACTCACTGACTTTTATGTCGATTTTGGGTTATGGGTAGAGTCCTAAACAGGGTTGGCAATTAAATAATCTTAAACCAAAGTTAGACAGATGCAAACCAGAACCCGACAGACAGCTCACACAAACTCATTAATGGCGACCGAAACAAGGAACTTACCAAACGCAGAAGGCTTCTGAACAATCTGCTGAAAAGTATCGTAAGGATTCGAAAGCACGACTTTAACACCAAGAAGCTCTCCATTCAACTTATTCACCAACCCACTCAGTTTCCCATTAAAGCTCTTCGCCACTATGTTGTAACTCTCTTGACATCCACCTCCATTCCCACCGATGAGGTTCGAGGTCCTCTCCAATGGCAGACAACCCATCGGAACAAGCCCTGCGAGGGATATTTTCCGAGCACCGAGACTGTAAAGTTCTTTGATAAAATTCTCTGCGAGTCCGGCGAGGAAGGTCTGGTACTGATCGACGTTGTACTGAGACCTCCGGTTGGGGAGGGTGTAGTAGTTCTCGAGGAAGTCGTTGGTTCCAATGCTGATTAGATATAGTGCTTCGCTGATTATTCTGTTGGCTTTTTGGACACCCAAATAGGCTCTGAGCTTTTTTTGGTAGTCTTTGTAGTACTCCACTTCCCTCCACAGAGGTATCACAGACTGCAGATAGATAGAACAATAAGGTCAGTATTCATCAGGGTAATTCATGGTTTAAAGTGTGGATCGATATTAATATGATTAATTGAGTCATATACGAAACGATCCTATGAGTTAAGACCGATGTATGTTCTATGTAAAATACGAGTCTCTGGAGTTGTCTAAGATGACACGACGGAATCATCGTCAACTAATCACACAATTAGGTGCCCAAAATATTCAATTTTTTCTATCAAACATTTTATTTTTGTTCCATCGAACACCATCTTATGACACCAGAGTTGAGGTTGATGTCGATTTCGCAACTTTGAATCACGAGTAAATGACTAAGAACTACTGTAATATCATGAATCCTATGTTACACCTATATGTAAAATTTTAAAAGAATACCTGATGCACGAGACTTCCGTTACAAGCGGATAAATGATAAGCCTCCGATTCTAAGGGTATACATAGTATTTTCTCTGCGACTTGCAATATGTAGCATTAAGCTTAATTTGATAACTTAGTTTACTAATTTAATTTAATATAGTCGTTGGATTAATCATAAGTCTCGGTGTTTGACAGGGTCAAGTAATAATTGAATGACGACGGTAGATTAGATCGATAGATTAGATGAATAAATGAATTAGAACGAAGAAATAAGTAGAGGGCTTACAAGAACATCAGAGGTTGCATTGTCATAGCCAGTACCAGCAGAAGCAAAGCAAACACCAACAGCAAAATCTGATATAGTATACATTGGATCCAAGTAGGCCGGCACATACGGCTTTAGACCAAAAGCCTCAGATATGAAGTCTGGCGGAATCCGGCCGTTGCAGAATCGTCCTGTGGCCCGGCCACCGTAAAAATCACGGCCATAAGGCTTGAAATTGCTCTTAAGAACAGTGGAAAGCTGGTTGTTGTTGCCGGCATCGACTGAGGAGTCACCGAACACGATGATCGCCGGAACTTTCGCCGCAGTATTAGACACTAGAAGGAGGAGTTGGCCCAAGAGGAGCCATGAAGTGTATGTGTATGCCATCTAGGTTTCTACTTTTCTCTCCGTGTGATCATTAGAATGCAGCACAAGGCTATATGTTTCAGTGAGCGAGAACTAGTTATAAATATACACTGTTGGGGTTAGGGAAGGGGTTGTTGGGTGCAAAAATATTTGATGTAACCATTCCACTACGTTAATAATGACATGTGGTGTACCCGTTCATTAATTTCTATGATAAAAAATAAATTATATTTTATTTTTTTTTGTTAACATAATATAACAGTTACACCCGATACTTAACGACGGGCAATGGGAGTTTGATTCGAGTTGAGGCCTGAGGGGAGCAGCGAAGGTAGTTGGGAGGTATTAATGGGTAATAAAAGGACTTCACTTAAATTTTGTGTGGCAGTCCACAGAAGAGTTGTGTGATCATTAAGAAGGCTTGACAAAAAAAAAAAACTTGTAAATAGGCAATGGGTCAATCTGTGGGGCTGTTTGATTTTGATACAATTCTTTCTGTTGTGTCTCAAGACAATCTCAAGGGTCAAGCGGTCTAACATGAAAGATTGATAGAAGATTAGGATAACATAATTAAATAAAGGTTAATAGAATTGAAGTATGCAAAAAGATTTTCAAAATTTGTACGTTAATTATTTAATGATTAAAAGTCAGACGTTACACCATAATAAATGGAAGCAATTAACTTGCCTCAATTTCTCAAACTTTGGGGCACAAATTTGAGATTGATAGAAGATTAAGTGTGCATAATTAAATAAATGATAATAGAACGAACTTTGGCATGAAAAGATTTTCTGGATTTGTACATTGCTTATTTAAAGATTAAAAATCATACGTCACACCATGGTAAATTGAAGCAATTATCGTGCCCCTTTTAAAACACGTTGGGACATAAATTTGAGGAGGGGGAGAGGGTAGATAAGATCACATTGCTATCATTTATACAAATTTTTTGTACAGTTTGGGACTTCTAATCTTTAAGGGGTTACTTTAACAAATTTCAGAACTATAGTAGAAACAAAGTAAATAATAACACTTACCCAAAAAAAACACAAAGAGTTAAATGGTATTTTTAAGGGGTGATGAACAAACAGAATTAATAGCGGCCAGCTCCTCTGCGATGAGTTTTAGGTAAAAGGGGGACAAGGGAGATAGTTCAAAGACCAACTCGATAGATTTTTATTGGTAGGATTATGAGATTTTTGATCGCATTCATTATTTCTTTTAAGAATGAATCTAATGTTGTGAAATTAAAATATGACAATAAAGTGAAATTAATGAAAAAAAAACGCTAAAAATGAAATCTAAACAATCACACAACACATAATTTACATGGGTCGGTAAGTTGCCTACGTCTATGAAGTTACAAAAATTTTCTTATTCTCAAAAATGAATACAGAGAGGGCGGCGATCGTATAGAATCAATCCAAAATCCTAATCCCCGAATAACAATTTATATTTGTCTTACGCACAAGGCTACAAAATGGGCCTTAAAAATTTTTAAACCTTCGCTCTATGGATTAAGTCTTAAAAAATTTTCATTAAAAACTATGCAACATTAGTTTGGGCCGGGTCATCTTCAGATCAACACATAAACTAGACTCCACAAAAGACCCAATATTTAATTAAACTAATAAAATGATTAACTACCAAATTTCAATATAAACTCTAAAACTTAATTCTATCTCCAATTTCAAAATAAAAAATTTAGTCAATCTCCCACTAGACCACTTCATTCAATACTCCAACTCCTCTCCATTACAGTGAGAGACATTGTTCTCAAAATGAAGTCGTTAAGTGTCTTCTGTACAACAGAGGAGGTTTGAGCTTGTCAACAAACCTCCCAGATTTGGTGAAGGTGAAGTATGATCTCCAAGTACATTTTGGCGGCCATTGATGGACATCTATCACTCTGTTGCAGTTGCCCCATCGAAAATTTTTAAGTTTTAAAGTCAACTTATAATTTATTAAAGTACAAGATATAATTATAAAATATATAATTAATTACAAAATAATATAATCGATCAAAAAAATTATAATTTTTAAAGATATAATTGCAACTCACAAAGAAAATGTTACAAGCTGTAAATGAGAAATTACGACTAATTCAAATAATTCATAATCAATCACGACATTTTATGATCGGTCATGAATTACTTGGATCATCTATAATTTATATTAAAATATAATAAATTTATATTTAAAAATAATAACTTTTCACACTATACTAAAATTTTATTTTTGATATTGATAATCTTTTCTTTGCTTTGCATAACCCCTCTTGTGAAATTAATTTTCTCCAAATTTCATGCCTTGGCATATCTAGAACACGTAAATTCTTATGGATGGTCTTACGATCAAGTTTAGACATCTTTTACCTTGAAGTACGATAATCAACTTTAAAAAACAATCGGTCTAAACTTAGATAATCTATAACCAAAAAAAAAAAAAATTCTAGAACAGGCAGACACCGACGTTCAACTACCCACTGAAAGAGTGATGTGACTCGATTGGTTCATTGGTGTAGGGCCTGGCCAGAGGTCTCCAAAATCTTCCCAACCGAAATGGAGGCACTTAAAAACATTTGATAACCATATTTAAAGCCTTGTTCCTTGGTGTCCCTCTGCTGGCCCATAACTCTAATTATCACTTGTCAACACTAACAATAATTACAAAAATAATTCAAGTGATAATTAATATGAGTTATAAATTTAGATATTTTAAATTTAAATTTTGATAATTTATTAGAGTCAAGTCACAAAAAATTTAACCCTCGTAAATACTCTAATTTTAACGTAAATAATTTATTTTTGACTGAATCAAAGAAATAATTAGTCAAAATGTGTGTAAATTAATTCGAACATCCTTAACTATTTGAAAAAAAAATGTATTGCCATTTCACTGATCTAAACCCAACATATATCTTCTTGGTCCCATCTATGAAGAATTTTCAAAAATTCATTGTTTACAACCACTCTACAAGCCCTTTTTTTTTTTTTATGAGGACATTATCAATAATTTTGTGTTTGAAAACACTTTATAATAATAAAAATTGATCATTGATCATGTAATATTTATATTCTAAATATAATTTTTTTTATTTTCTTTAATTATGTAATTTTAAAATTAAAGTGAGCATAAAGAAAATAAGTGAGAGTTGGAGGAAAGACAAGACAAAGGTAGGTGAAAATTACAAATAGGGTTCTTTAACATAAGGAGAGTGTCAGTCGAGTTATCTAATATTGGAGGCATGCAAAAAAGTTGATATTTTGTAGCAAAAAAAAAAAATTGTGATGAATTTATACCATTAGATCAAAGTAGATAAAAATTAGATCAATTTTAACTATTGCTATACTTTGTAAGTTGAGAATTCAACTTCGTACCTATAATATTGGATGGATATCAAGACACCTAATAACAATATCGTTTTTATTCAATTTTACTTCCAAGTTTGGATCATGAAATAACACTTGTTATCGTCGCAAATCCTATCTCGAGTAGTAAAACTTTGCTCCTAGGCTCTCGTTCTTGTCATCCAAACTAGGCCTCTACGTTAATGATCACAATATTGTGACTGATCATCATATTTTTTTTGATCAATCATAAGTTTTTGAGTTGTAACGTAAACCTGTAGTTGTGATTTAAAATTTAAACTATGTAATTTTTGGTTCCATGGGATCATTGAAAAACTTGGGATTTATCACTCATGAATATTCTAGTTCCGGCATGGATGGTCTGTCTTTGACTAAACTAGAGAGTAAATTGACCCGAACACCCCTGACTCTTAGAAGAAAAAAAAAAAAAAAACTTGGAAGTTTGTTGTGGCTCCCCTCTCTCTATATATCTCCTACCTAAGTGTTGCCACATTAAATTCTTATAGCAATGTTTAATTCTGCCTGGGGACACATGAGAGGTTCGACTGGTCTTAGGATGGCGGTTCTGCATTAAACAAACAGAGCCCCTGCATAGAAAAGAGAAAGTGAAGGTGGGAACAGAGCTTCTGTATCTTCAAAGTATACAGCCATAAAATTAATTGGCGAAACATGGTATTTAATTTCTTGTTCAAACTATAGTATAACCACCATATCCTAAAACTTTTGAACAATGTATTTCAAGTATTAAGTGAACTTTCACATGTGGCGTCTTAATTTAAGAAAGATTGAAACTTTTAAACAAACTTTTAACCGGTAAAAACAGTAATTCCACTAACAGACACTAGTTTCAAAATTGAAATTATCGTTTGAGTTAGTCAATTAAGAAGTGATGGTAGCAGAAGGAATCGGAACTTCTCCTGTTTACCCCAGGAGAATATCTGTTGACATATTGACACCATCTCACAGTCCCGAAACTTCTAACTCCACTCATTTGCCTTCGACACACTCACACTAGCAAATACTTGCACATTTCAAGTCAAAGGTGATCTTCCAACGTGTTAACAACCATATCACACTATTAGGGGTTAGAATGAAGGAAAGGCAACATGCATGGTTGGAGTTGTTACCCTCCGAAGACCTAACTCGGGTTCGATCCTCAACACCCGCATAGCATCATCCTTTTCCCTTCTTTGAATTAAAACAATATTTTCAAAAATATTTACAATAGTTTAAAAAATATACAAATATTACAAAAAAAAAAACTTAGGGGGTGGGGAAGATACCCTACATATAAATGCCACTACCTCCTCCCTGTGGTTGGTTTGAAAAGAAAGAGGAATATTTAATGTTGTTGTACAAACAATCCTTGGAGTGTAACTTCCATATGTTGCCATGTTGGTGTGGTAGTACTAATTTTAGAATAACAAATCTTATTGGCATAACTGGGACACACTATTGTTTTATTTCACAAAAGGGGCATTAAGACAAAATAGCAGATAACAAGTACAAATGTCAGTTTCAAATCCACATCTTGTGCAGGATTTTGTAGTTGGGTGTATTGAATTTTTTTTTTGGAACTAGAGTTGGGATATTGAATAGTCGAGAAGGGTATGGTCCCAAAATCGATCATAGTTATAGATTTTGACTTGA